TGGCTTAAGGCCAGGTTCCCACCCTTCCTGGGTATGGCCGGGGAACATACGGCAGACAGTTGGCTTGCCATGATGCGGGCTTCCCTGAGGCAGTACAAGCAGCATTGGTGATTGTCGCTGACCGAGAAGGATCACAAGCAGGAAGACAAATTTTGAAGCCCAGAGTCCTGGGCATAGTCCAGTACCCTAATGGGTACAGGGGATGTGCTCCCCAAGTCAGGGAGACTAAAGCTAAAATTATCTGACAAACTTTATAATTCTAGAACTATAAAAGCTATTTACAGGCATCTAAATATGTTCACAGATAAAGGAGAAAGCTGAAACTTCGGACACTGGAGGTTCTGACCCCGAATATGTGGCGGTGAGAAGGAACTGGAGAGATGGTTGGTCTGCCCCCCCATCCCTTATCTCCTTGGTCAGAAGCACGAGGTGAACCAGGGCACATGTGGAGACCAACGGACACTGCTTTCAAAATTCTCCAGCTCTGGGAGCATGCATACTCACAGAGACAAGCACTTGTAGAAAATGTTTAGAAACCAGTGCTTTTAGTTCAGTATAGAACATTTTAAAAAATCATAAATTAAATTTATGAATTTTTATGCTGCATAAAGTAAAATGTTTTAAATGTAGATTACACAATGAAAGGCGCTGACTGTTGCATTTTGATACACTCCAACCCAAACATCAAAAAAAAGTTTTAGCCTGATCTTTTTGAAGCAGGACATAAACTTAATCTAGATTTTGTGTCCAGATTTTATTGCAATTTGGAGACTGCTTCTCACCCAATTTACCTAGTATGCCCTGTTGTCACAGTAATTTCAATGACAGCCAGTGATAGAAGTTGGACGATTAAAAAAAAAAAACAGCAAATAAAAAACATCCTTGAAAGGTTCACACATTTTTTTTAACTCTTTGTTCACAGCAAGAGTACAGGTACCTACAGCTCAAGAATATTAATGGAGACTGAATGCAATTATTCAGATAAATATTGGGGTGTACTGCAGTGCAATGTAACTAATTTTAATCCCTCAAAATTTGTCACCACTGATACTCCTACTCTTGGAAACCAGAGTATGCTCTTACATCTCTGTTTCCCTTAATCACTGAAAGAAGGAGTCTGAAGAGACTCTTTATTTTGGCAGGTAATTTAAATTACTGAATCCCCCACTTGTAACATGTCAAATACACTCAAGGAAGGAAAAAGGTAAGAAGTAAAATAATTTTGGAAAATGATTGAACTTACTTGATCTTTTCTTCCACTGATTGTTAAGTTGCTTATAGCCCAAGCAGCTTCTTTCTGTGTACCAAAATCACCCTAAAATACAATAAGAGTTGGCTGTACATTATTTGGAATCACAGAAAAGTAGGACTGGAAGGGACCTTGAGAAGTTATCTAGTCCATACCCCCAGGCCAAGCCAGGACCCCAGATATACCTAGACTATTACTGACAGATGTTTGTCTAACCTGTTCTTAAAAACCTCCAGTGGTAGGGATTCCACAGTGTACCTTCCAGGTTGTGTCCACATTAGTTTAAATTGAAGTTAAAAAAAAAAAAAAAGGGCAGAAAAAAATCTTGTAAAATGTTAGGACTTAGTGAGGGAGAGAAGGGAGTTTGTTTTCCCCAACACTACTTTCATATTTCTGCTCTTCTACCTCCTATCCAACCCACCATAGCTATGTGCCCACTGTTCCACTTGCACAGCCTTCAGCTACAAGACAGGGGAAAACAGTTCAGACCCAGAGCAGAGAACTGCAAAAGCGATGGGAAGAAGAAAGTAGTAATTGTAGCATTATCCCCTTCCACCCTATACCAGCAGCCTATAACAGACATAGCAATGAAGAGACATTGTACTGTGTTAATTTTGATATGCCATATTGTTTTAGAAGCCGAGAGTCAGCTTTTGGTCTCAGTGAGCTTTCAGCCTACTCAGTCTCTTTATTAATTTAACCCCCCCAAAAACTAGATTTAATAGAAAATTATGCTTCCTTTATGGAATTCTGTTCTCAGGATGTACAACATATTGATAGTAACTAAGCTACAAATCTGTGCTCGTAATTCTACATGCTACTAGTAAGAGACTCATGATGATCTTTTCACTCCTTATTCCTCCCACTTGTGACTTTGTCCTCCTGTGCTGTAACCTCCTATTCTCTCCAATAACCAGGAGGTTAATCCCCTTAGCCTTCTGTCACTGGGAGACTAAAAATAAATTAGGAAAAAATAAAATAAAAACAGACTAAGCAAGACAAAAAACTGACCCTGCACTTGGCATTCCACACATATACCCAACCATCATTTTTAAACCTTAATACTACAGTAGAAAGCCTCTTCTGTCCAGCAATTAGAGATTGATATGGTGATGGGAAGTGAAAGCATCCTGGGATGTCTGCTAACAGCTGCTATGATTTTCCCCCACCACAGAGAGGAATGAACATATATGTGGAGTTCCATACCTACAGCAGGGAGAGCTGCTAGCAGACAACTACCACAAATATATAGTTATTTCTATTATACATATCTACTTTTGTTAAATTACAGTGGTAAAGATTTAAAATGGGACATCATCTGTTCTGTGGCCTACTGCTCCAGGCCATGATTAATTTGGGATTACTCTGCTGGAAGTAGGTATGTATGGCAACCTAAGCAACTGGAGACAACTGGTTTTGCAAATGTCATCACTGAAGAATTCCTTATAATGTTTCCAAGGCAGAAGAAAATCTTCAAGATTAAACAGAATGCTTGAAAAGTATTCAACTAAAAATTACACTGATTCTTGACTCTTGTGAAATCTGCTAAAATATTCAGACATTTGAGTACAGGCTCATCCCCACCTCTTCCTTCTACAAGGAAGCACAGAACTTTGCCACAATAACTTCTGAATGGCTGTAGTTATTTTATTAAAAATTAATGTAATGAAATTTAGAGTAGTAAGAAGCTATTTCTCAAAAGGTCATTTCCCTAAACTACTTCTCCCCTATGGATTAGACAAGCATTGACGTATGAAGTGAAATTTAGTTAATGCAAGTCTAAAGTATTATGCTTTAATTAGTGATATAGGCAAATTTGCTTTTTACTCTTAGCTCAAACCAAATCTCAAAACAGATTTACAATAAAGTCTATAGGTAATTATCAGCAATTCAATAACAGCCCTGCTTTTTCCGCTTGCCAACAGTACAGAATTAAATATTTGTTATCCCACCTTATCTAAAAGGTGTATTATCATTGGAACAAGGTTAGCATCTATCACCGCCTGAACTTGCTGCTGGTTTCCTGCAGTGATGTTAGATAGGAACCATACGGCTTCCTGCAGGAAGAAAAAAAAAAGATAAGCTTTAAAAAAAAACATTGAAGAAATATCTGAATATTCTATTTCCATTCCAGCAAGATTTCATGCATTTACAATTCTAGTAAAATCATAAATTCTGAAGTTGAAAACATACCTTCGAATAATATAATTAAAGATTTAAATAGTGTAGTTCTGTATGTAGTTGCATTAAGAATCATAATAATCCAATTAGAGACAAGGTGGGTGAGGGTAACATTTATTGGATCTATTTCTATTGGCGAAATTGTCAGGCTGTCTCTTAACTCCTTCACTAACAGAAAAGTTGGTCCAATAAAAAGATATTACCTCACCCCACCTAGTCGCCCTAATATCCTGGGACCATCATGGCTACAACACTGCAAACAATAACCCAATTAGGTACATTAAAAGGAGAAGGCAACAAAGGTTGGGACCAACTCCATCAAGGTGATTTTTACAATGGGAGACCAAACAGGATTATTGCCATCTTCTCTAAACCTGTAGATTAACTGGTATTTTTTGCCTAGAAATATATCACAACCCCAGTGAACCCTCACAGTTTATTCCATATCCTGGAAATCCATTAATAATAGCAGCATTATTTTCAGCAGAGAGCTGGATGGGCTCCAAAAGAGAGTTATACCTCAACATCGCTCGACAGCCAGTGACAAATGCACTCTTTTCTCCCTACCCCCTGCAAGGTCTGTTCCTCCTTGTCCCTGTTCTTAACTATCCAGAAAACGTGTATTCACTGATTTAACACACATTTTTAAGATTAAGGCCCTGTAGTATTTGCTCACCGCTACCAGGAAGATAACAAATCTAATGTTTTCTTTGTCTAAAGAAAAAGAAAGAAAGAAAGAAAGAATAAAACCAACTCAGCCTGGGTGAAGTTTTCCCAAGGTAGAGATCAATGCTAAAAGTTACCCAAGATCTATATTAGATCTCAGTGCATGATTAACAGTTACAAACTGACAACTGAAAAATCAGAGCATTCTAGATCTGCAAAACTTGAATAAAATTCGACACAGGCAAGCCAATATTAATTAAAAAGTACAAGATTCTCACTAAGTTTACAAGATTTTTCAACTACTGCTAGGCAAGTTGAAAACTTGAACCAAAATGCAGAGTAGAAAGGTGATTATCCTCCTACTTCCAGTGAAGTCAGAAGAAGTTTGTTGTCTTTAACATGAACAAGAACAGGCCCACATACAGATGCAGACACTTTAGTTCATAAGCAGCGATTTTACTTTACATTATGTATCAACACTCAACCCAACCAAGGTATTGATCATGAAGCTGAGTGCCCAATGTGGTACAGTCACAGTTATGTTAGACATTGCCACATAAAACCCTCCATAAGAAAGAAGATTGCAGATGACAGTCACAAGAATTACAATGTAGGCTCAAACGTTCATGCAGCTTCAAGATTTAAGCCACTAGGACACCCAAAGTTAGAATGCTTTACCAATTTTATTCAAGATAACTATTAGTCCAGCAGAAGCAATAAGTCATTAAACTGAGGGCTATCATTATTATGGCTACCCACGAGCTATACCGGCTACTTTATATAAACCCTTCATTTCATATATCTTGGTGCGATAATTTCATTGGAAGCTGCTTATTCAACGTAAGAGCATGGAACAGCGTAAATGTGACTTGCAGATTTTCTGACTTAACATTCTGCTGAACTCTTGGATCAAATCATGGGATCATTTATGTCAATGAACCTGTTAGAGATTTTTAGGCTGTCTATATTCAGCTGGTGAGCTTATTTTGGGCACTAATCATTGGCAATGTTGCAAAACAAAACACCCTTCCCCAAAATTTCAACATGCCTCGGATGCACTCCGAAATCAGTACTCCCATGTAGCCTTTGTACATTCTCTCTCTCAAAAACACATTATACAACATTAACATTAAGTGTTAAATTAGAATGTTTCCAATCACACCTCCTCCCCAAAACAAACATCCAATTACCTTTCATAATTTCCAAGAGTCAGTTTAATCAACTGTATTCCAAGTTCACGTTACTTTTATTAACACACAAAACAGCATTACAGTGTTTTTAATTTTTAATGTAAACACAGAAGACCATTTATTTCATAGGTAAACAAGCCTAATGCTTACAGACAGGGATGACATGGTATTTACCAGGGGTGGTTTTTACTAGGTAAAATCATGATTTTTACCATCCCAGGAAAAAAAAACAGTTAGAAAATGCCTTAAACTGGGATTAATTTAAAAACTGTTTCATGAATATACACCACCTTACACTTAGTTTTAGTTACATATTTAATTTGTGATTATGTAAGGCAGTAAATCTGTAGATTAATTTAGGGTTGTACAAATAAATTAAACTGCAGTGGGAATACTACTACTATGTAATTATAATACTGAACGCTGTATACATTTTGGTTTGGTATTTTCTCAAGGATGTTATAAATGTCAGAACTCATTTCAGTTTTCAATACTGTATAAACGAATGTAAAGAAAAATTGATTATATGCAAACAATAATACAGAATTGTAGGATTGAACCATCAAGCAATCAGAAGCATAGACTACCAAGTCCAGGTCCATTTGGCCATGTAACATTTTGTAGCAGAAGACCAACTTTGATGTAGTGGATAAACCAAGCCTATAGGACTTGATTTAGTCCTAAGTGGAGCACAGGATCTGGTCCAAGAGCTGGACCGCTTGTTAATAGAGACCATAATATAATTAAAATTTAATATCCCTGAGGCAGGAAAAACACCACAGTGGCCCAACACTGTAGCATTTAATTTCAGAAAGGGGAACTACACAAAAATGAGGAGGTTAGTTAAACAGAAATTAAAGGGTACAGTGCCAAAAGTAAAATCTCTGCAAGCTGCAAGGAAACTTTTTAAAGACACCATAATAGAGGCTCAACTTAAATGTATACCCCAAATTAAAAAACACAGTAAAAGAACCAAAAAAGAGCCACCGGGGCTAAACAAAGTAAAAGAAGCAGTGAGAGGCAAAAAGGCATCCTTTAAAAAGTGGAAGTTAAATCCTAGTGAGGAAAATAGAAAGGAGCATAAACACTGGCAAATGAAGTGTAAAAATACAATTAGGAAGGCCAAAAAAGAATTTGAGGAACAGTTAGCCAAAGACTCAAAAAGTAATAGCAATTTTTTTTTAAAGTACATCAGAAGCAGGAAGCCTGCTAAACAACTAGTGGCGCCACTGGACAATCAAGGTGCTAAAGGAGCACTCAAGGACGATAAGGCCATTGCAGAGAAACAAAATGAATTCTTTGCATTGGTCTTCATGGCTAAGGATGTGAGAGATTCCCAAACCTGAGCAGGTCTTTTTAGGTGACAGATCTGAGGAACTGTCCCAGATTGAGATATCATTAGAGGTGGTTTTGGAACAACTTGATAAATTAAACAGCAGTAAGTCACCAGGACCAGATGGTATTCACCCCAGAGTTCTGAAGGAACTCAAATGTGAAATTGCAGAACTACTAACTGTATTCTGTAATCTATCATTTAAATCAGCTTCTGTACCAAATGACTAGAGGATAGCTAGCTTTTAAAAAGGGCTCCAGAGGTGATCCTGGCAATTACAGGCCTGTAAGCCTGACTTCAGTACTGGGCAAACTGGTTGAAACTATAATAAAGAACAATATTGTCAGACATAGATGAACATAATTTGTTGAGGAAGAGTCAACATGATTTTAGTAAAGGGAAATCATACCTCACCAATCTACTAGAATTCTTTGAGGGGGTCAACAAGCATGTGGACCAAGGGGATCCAGTGGATATAGTGTACTTAGATTTTCAGAGAGCCTTTGACAAGGTCCCTCACCAAAGGCTCTTACACAAAGTAAGATGCCACAGGATAAGAGGGAAGGTGCTCTCATGGATTGGTAACTGGTTAAAAGATAGGAAACAAAGGATAGGTATAAATGGTCAGTTTTCAGAATGGAGAGAGGTAAATAGTGGTGTCCCCCAGGGGTCTGTTCTGGGACCAGTCCTATTCAACATATTCATAAATAATCTGGAAAAAGGGGTAAAGAGTGAGGTGGCAAAATTTGCCGATGATACAAAACTACTCAAGATAGTTAAGACCCAGGAAGACTGCGAAGAGCTACAAAAGGATCTCTCAAAACTGCGTGACTGGGCAACAAAATGGCAGATGAAATTTAATGCTGATATACTCGTTCATTAGCCAGTTAGTTTATAAGCCGATCCCCCAAAATGGATAAGTAAAAATAGCAAAAACTGTATGACCCTTTCATAAGCTGACCCTATATTTCAGGGGCTGGAAAACTTTGGCTCCCGCCCCGTCAGGGTAAGCCGCTGGTGGGTTGGGACGTTTTGTTTACCTGGAGCCCCTCAGCTCCCTGTGGCCGTGGTTCGCCGTTCCCAGCCAATGGGAATTGCAGGAAGTGGCGCCACTTCCCGCAGCTCCCATTGGCTGGGAACGGCGAACCGCGGCCACAGGGAGCTGAGGGGCTCTAGGCCTGCACACGCTCCAGGTAAACAAAACAACAATGTATTAGATATTCAATTCAATGATTCCATAGAGTTTAAAATCATCAAATTTTGGTGTAGACCCGTTTATAAGCCGACCCCCGCTCTTTGATGGGTCACTTTTTTACCAAAAATATTCAGCTTATGAACGACTATATACAGTAATGCACATTGGAAAGCATAATCCTAACTATACATATAAAATGATTGGGTCTGAATTAGCTGTTAGATCTTGGAATCATTGTGGATAGTTCTCTGAAAACATCCACTCAATGTGCAGTGTCAGACAAAAAAGCGAACAGAATGCTGGGAATAATTAAGAAAGGGATAGATAATAGGACAGAAAATATCATGTTGCCTCTATATAAATCCATGGTACGCCCATATCTTGAATGCTGTGTGCAGATGTGGTTGCCTCATCTCAAAAAAAGATATATTGAAATTGGAAAAGGTTCAGAAAATGGCAACAAATTATTAGGGGTATTGAACGGCTTCCGTATGAGGAGAGATTAATAAGACTAGGACTTTTCAGCTTGGAAAAGAGACGGTTAAGGGGAGATATGATTGAGGTCTATAAACTCATGACTGGTGTAGAGAAAGTAGATAAGGAAGTGTTGTTTACTCCTTCTCATAACACAAGAACTAGTGGTCACCAAATTAAATTAAATTAATAGGCAGGTTTAAAACAAACAAAAGGAAGTATTTCTTCACACAATGCACAGTCAACCTGTGGAACTCCTTGCCAGAGGATGTTGTGAAGGCTAAGACCATAACAGGGTTCAAAAAAGAATTAGATAAATTCATGGAAAATAGTTCCATCAATGGCTATTGGGCAGGAATGGTGTCCCTAGCCTCTGTCTGCCAGAAGCTGGGAATGAGCGACAGGGGACAGATCACTTGATGATTACCTGTTCTGTTCATTCCCTCTAGGGCACCTGGCACCGGCCACTGTCGGAAGACAGGATACTGGGCTAGATGGACCTTTGGTCTGACCCAGTAGGACAATTCTTATGTTCTTATTCCTCAGATTTGAATGATATACCCAAAGTTTGAAAAGATTCATTCTATGTTTGCTGAACACCGACGCAATTATTTTTCCCAGTTTAAACCAGGTTTAAGCCAGTATTTACCAGTGCCCTGACCTAAATTAGTTTTCCTTGGGCAATTGCCAACCTTGCAGCACAAAATAAAGATCAAAATTTCATACAAGGTCAAGAACTCATTGCTGGGATTATAGATTGATGAATACTGGTTTATATGACATTCTGGAATGCCATGATATTGCTGAAGTTATTACAAAGAATTACTATATTTGGTAAGGATATCTATGAAGTTCCTTAGATTCTTTTAGGATACTAATGGCTTAATTTAAATAAGGAAAATATAGCAAGATCAAGACTTGTCGGCAAGAAACTGGTATTGCAACAAAGACGTATTATCAAGTTATAGTATTTGGGGAAAACAGTGTCATACTGACATTTGGTCAATAATATTTACAATACAGGACAAATAAATAACTATTCCTATGGGTAAATTTCACCCCAAAATGTATTTACATACCTTATTAATTTTTTCTTTGGGATGTGTCAGCAGTGCTGGGAAGTGTGAAAGAGCTTCACAATTCAGAACTACTTGTGTCTGTTCATCAGTACCAGTAACAATGTTGCCTACAGCTCTGAGTGCAGCAGTCTGAAACAACACACTGTATTTCAAGACTTGAACATTTAGAAAAACAATATTTTTATCTGTAAGTTAAGCATGAAAACAGTGAACACAGCAAAATATTATTTCATTCAAATGTTACCACAAATTAGATAACTGACATTTTGATAACCTAAGTATTTTGCAAATAAATGTTTGCTGATAAACCTTTAGTCAATTATCAAAGTGATAACTAAACAATTTAAAAAGTAAGCCACTTCAATATTGTATATTACTATATTTTGAAATAAATTAAGATATTGCTATCTAAACTTACTTGCACTTTAACTTCTTGGTGGCTCAGAAGGGGAACCAAATGAGGGACTATTCCAGAGTCTATCACCATCTGGATCTGTTCATTGCCAGCATCCGTTAGGTAGGAGAGGGCCCAGACTGTATCTACCAATATCTAACATTAAAAAAAAAAAGTGTCAAACCCATAAGGAGAGAAAGGTCTAAATAAGATGTGCCGAGATCTATGTTATAATGCTATTATATTTAAAGATAGGTTTTTTGTTCAAGCCTTGCTGTTAAGAGTCTATTTAAATGTTTCTAGTTTTGTAACTGTCTCAAGGTAAGGGTTTTTACATTGAGAGGATTTTGTCGTTTAACATCTTATAAATAGATGGAAATTATTCTGCTGTTTGGCATATTCACTTTAAAAAGTCTAAAATGCAGCCACTTTGTAATTTGTTCCTTGCACCTTTGTCTGCTGCCTTCCTGGTAGCTAGAACATAGGACAAAATATAATTTATAACCATAGTCAAGAATATGAAGGATATAATGGTCAAAC